TGGTGCTGGGGGATTGAACCGCGGTCCCTGATGCTTTTGCTAAGCTTGTTCTAAGTAGGTGCTTTAGACCACTGAGCCATCTCTCCAGCCCTGGTTCACATTTTAGAAGCTCTGGCCGGCCTTGGTAGTGGCCCACATCTGTAATCCCAGCACTCTCCTGGGGGGCTGAAGCAAGAAGATCAGAGGACTGTTTTGAGTTCAAGGCAAGCGTGGCTACAAAGTGGGCTCAAGGCCAGCCTGAACTGCAGTGAGACCCTGTCTCCAAATGACCAAAAGAGAAGTTCTGATCCCCACATGGTGAAAGGCCTGACGGAGGGAAGCTGCTCATGTCATGGCACCCAGGAAGTAGTGAGGGGGGAGCCCAGGAAGGAGAGGCAGCCGGGCCACACCCCAGTGAGGCACTCTTCAGATTAGGTCCTAACAGCACACGTGTGATCCCTGAGGCTGGGGGTCAGGGGAGGTCACTTAAATATAGCAGCCACACCGGCAGACACACACACAAGCAAGCGCAGACTGATCAGATCACAAAGCTCGCAGGCAACATACAAACATGACTCTGGAGAAAGCACACTAGCTGTTAATAAACATGAGGGATGGGGCTGGAGACAAAGCTCAAGGGCGGTGCGCGCCCCATTAGGAAAAGGGCAACAGACACATTCCTGCCTTCAAAAATCTTCCCACCTAGTGGAGAAGACACCAAATTCCACACAGATAAAAACAAACAAGGACTATGAGAAATGCTACAATGGAAACGAAGAGTCGCTGCTATGGTTTGTATCTAGGTGTCCTCCAAGAGTGTCACATACTCAGAGGTGGGTGTCTGGAAGGTAACCGCCTAGAGGAGTGTGACAGCTGCCTTGCTCTTAGGAACAGGGTGGCACAGGGAGGTGGTCATTAGGGTGGCTGAGGCGTCCCTCCCTCCCTGATTCTTCCTCTCTCTCCCTGCTTCCTGCCCTTCAGGTTTGGGCATCTTTTCCTCCACTTTGCTTCCCTGCCAGGCCATTTTCTGCCCTGCAGCCTCCCCACCTCTCCTCCTTTTCATGTGGGTGATGAGTATTGTGACCACCACAGGTGCAGGCTCAGCGGGCAGGGATCACAGGGCTCAAAGCAGGCTCCCCGAGGGAAGGAAGCACAGTGGAGAAAACTTTCTGTAGCAACTGTCCTGCCCGCCCCTGCAGCGAGAGCAGCACACACAAAAACTCTATTGTGAGTGGGAGTGGGAACACAGCATACACTATCGAACCGAGGGCAAGTGGTGCCAGGGCTACAGGGCTGTGAGGTAGAGCTGGAAAGTGCATTTCAGATGTAAAACACGCCATCATGAGCAATCACGCGTGCGTTGCAGGCCATGTCCAGGATGTGCTGCCGGATGCACTTACTTGTAGAGCAGGCAAGGGGCGCTCACTGCAGACCGGAAGCCCTGCGGGGTCTGCTCCAGCGCGTAGGCCTCACAGGGCTCATCAGCACCCTCCATGGAGTCTGCACAGAAACAAAGCACAGGCCTCAGAAACATGCCACAGCCCCCAACGCAGCCTCCTGCCCAGAGCAGGACAACATCCCCCCACAGACCATTGCTCAGGTGCTCCTGGCGCTCTCCGGGTCTGGGGATCAATCCCCAGCACTATGGGGTCTCCTTAAGCCACTAAGTTGCCAGCCCACAATCCTGTCTCAGCTTCCCAGGGTACTAGGATTTTTACTATTCATTTTTGTTGAAAATCACCAAACAGAAAACTCGCTTTTAATACAATTCATATTCAAATGGCCAGGGGAACTAGGGAGGGAAAGGAGGAAAGAAAGGAAGGGAAAAAATAAGTAAAGAAAAAAACAATAAGGATACAAAGGAGGAGGCAAGGGAGATGGCTCAGTGGAATAAGCACCTCCCTGGCAAGTGCAAGAACCTGAGTTCAATCCCCGGTTCCACCAAAAAAAAAAGGATACAAAGGAAACAAGGCTTTGTAAATGAGAAGAGGGCAAAGTGGCAAGATCTGTCATGTGCAAGTACACAGTCCCTATGATGAATAAAGCATGTATTTCTAAACTGTACCAATAAACTTTACTTAAAAAATTACAAAGTATACTATTTAGCCAGGTATGGTGGCACATGCCTATAATTCAAAAACTCAGGAGCCTGAGATAGTACAATTGCTACAAGTTTGAGGCCAGCCTAAACTATAGAATGAATTGAGGGCCAGCCATAAATACACAGGGAAATCCCAGTTTAAAAAGGGGGAGGGAGAGGTGTGGTGGCACACACCTGTAATCCCAGTAAATTAGTAATAGTACATTCCTGTAATCCCAGTCCTCCAGAGGCTGAGACAGGAGGATCACAAGTTTGAGCTCAATATGGACAAATTAGCAATTTAGGGAAACCTCATCTCAAAATTTAAAATTTAAAAAGGGCTGGGGATATAATTCATGCAAAAGCCCAGAGTTCAATCCCCCGTACAGCAAACAAACAACAAAAAGCAAACACTCTGTCACCTTTCAGGGTCTTTGGTGGGGGGGATTTTTTATTTTCTGAAATAGGGTGTCCCTATGTATTCCAGACTTGAACTCACTATGGCCCAGGCTGGCCTTGAACATACACAGCGATTCTCCTGCCTCTCAGCCTCCTGGTTTCTGGGATTACTGGCATGCGCAACCACACACAGCCATTTACATTTTTTTTTTTTTTTGCCATTTACATTTTTATATAAAGATAAAATATGAGTAACAAACTGCAACCAAGAATGGGGTGGGGGGAGGCGGGGAGATGGCTCAGTGGAATAAGCACTTCCCTGGCAAGCACAAGGGTCTGAGTTCAATCCCCAGTTCCACAAAAAAAAAACAAAAGAATGTCTCAGGGGCCAGGGAAATAGCTTGGGGCCGGGAAAATAGCTCAGTAGAACAAGCGCTTGCCTGGCAAGCACAGGGGCCTGAGTTCAATCCCGGGTTCTGCCAAAAAAAAAAAAAAAGAATGTCTCAGGGGCCAGGGAAATAGCTTGGGGCCGGGAAAATAGCTCAGTAGAACAAGCGCTTGCCTGGCAAGCACAGGGGCCTGAGTTCAATCCCGGGTTCTGCCAAAAAAAAAAAAAAAGAATGTCTCAGACTCTAACTCATTATTACCCTTGAAAAATGCACATTATAGAAACACACAGTTCACCAACTGAAACATCAATTTCAGTGTGAACACAGAAATAGTGAAAAAAATAAATACAGTGAAACAAAACAAAACAAACAACTGTCCTTACAATACAGAAGATGCTTTATTTCTTAGGGCTGGGGAGATGGCTCAGTGGAATAAATGCTTCCCTGGCAAGCACAAAGGGCCTGAGTTCAATCCCTGGTTCCAGAAAAAAAACTAAAAACCATATTTCTAATTTTACCAAAGAGCAGCAGAATTACCTGGATAGAAATCCTCCTCATTTTCTTCATGCTGGTAAGTTTTTTCTTGGATAGGATTCTTCCTATAATTCCTCCCTTCGACTGTTATAATCTGTGGGCGAAGAACTTCCATTTCACTTTCTCCTAGTAACAGCCTAGTGAAATCCAAAAAAATAAATTAGCCTCTCACCCATGCTTACACAGAAATAAAAACCCTGTATCACTTTGTGAGCCTGAAAGGACATAATTGGACATCAATTTACAGTATATCCCGAGCAAAAGGATTGTTTTTCCATCGGATTTCCTTGGGAAGTCAACTGCTGCATCCTGGCTCTCAAGCCAGCAAAGTTTAAACTCTTACCACAGAGAAAGTGATAAAAAGACCTCTATATATAGCCCGCCCATAACAGAAAAGTGGAGATGTCTTTATTACTTTAACCTGAAAGGTGTAAACTACAACATTCATCTAAGCAGTTGCAGTACGGTCATTCTGACAGCAAGGGATTCTTAATACACTTATCCACCAGGTGGGAAAGAGAAACGTAAGTACTTTTGCAGGTGCTAGAGATACACAACTAACAACCAGATCCAGTCGCTTGCACTGGTTAAGCCTGGGAAGAGGCCGAGGTTTCTACCTCGAACAACATACTGTAATGATAATAACTTAGGAAACAAAGATTCCTCATGAACCAGCTATGGTTAAATTCTAGCATTGCTCCTACCACATCAACAAGGCATGAATGTTTACATAAAAAATTTATTGAGGGGCCAGGGAGATGGCTCAGTAGAATAAGGGCTTGCCTGGCAAGCTCAAGGGCCTAAATTCAATCCCTGGTTCCGCTCCCCCCCAAAATAAATTATTGAGCAGGGTGTATTGGCACATTCCTGTAATCCCAGCACTGGGGAAACTGAAGCAAGAAGATTACTGTGAGTTTGAGGCCAACCTGGGCTACATAGTGAACCCAAGTCCAGTCTGAAATACACAGTGAGACCCTGTCTTAGAAAAAAACAATTACAGTAAAAGATACAATGCCATTATTTCCCCCCAAAAAAGCCTCACCCTCACTTCACTTATTCCATACTGTAGCAGCTGTTCTGTTTTATGCAGTCCTGGCTAATCTTGATGTGTCCTAGGCTAATGTGTCCTAGGCCCGGCTCCACAGTTCTAACCATTCTGGGGGGCAGTTCTGGAAGTCTTTTTTGTTGTTTTATTTTCGGAGTATTTTGGAGAACTAGGGAGGGGATGGAGTTCTTTTTGTGTTGGTTTTTCTGAACCAGTCTCACTACGTAGTTCAGGCTAACCTTGAGAGCCGCCACATAGGGCTAAGAATATTTTTCTTCCACAGAATTTAGCATCTCCCCAGCCCATGTTTTGAATCTTTTCAGTAGATCAAGACAGCCACAAAGTCATCAAAGAGGACTCCCAGAACTGCTTTAAGTTAAGGTGCTTGAAGCAAGGGGGAGTATTTCAAGAGGAATTATTGGGATGTGTCCTTTACTGTAATACTGTTTTTTTTTTTTTTTGCTGTGCCAGGGATTGAACTCAGGACCCTGCGCTTACCAGGCAGGTGCATATTCTACTTAGCTATCCCTCAGTTCCATTTTTCTTTTAATTTAAATATTCGCCATATTCATCACACCACGAGGACTTGGTTTATCTTGAAGCCCCAAATACTTCAGGATTCCAAAGAATACAGATCAATCCCTACTAAAGACACTAATGCTCAGTCCAACCCACAGCAAGCCTAATTGGTAGTTTTTCTGCTTACACACCCAAAGAGGTTTCCTGTTTTGAGAAATAACAAAGTAAATCCACACGGAGGACATAATTAACAAGTCTAATGACATTACAAGCTTCTCCTCTATTCCCCAAACTTTTCTCCCTCCCTTCCAAAAAAGTTCTCCACAAAACAAGGCTGTTTTCAGACCATAAGTTTTTGTTTTTGTTTTTGCGGAACCGGAGATTGAACTCAGTCCCTTGCGCTTGCCAGGGAAGAGCTTATTCTACTGAGCCATCTCCCCGGCCCCATAGACCCTAAGTTTTAAAGGGAAGGATGGTTTTAAACGATTACTTTTCCTGCTCTGCGCTAGACAAGACTGCTGAGAAGTCAATCTAACCATGCTTCAAAGACATCTGAGGAGAAAACGAGCATTTTCCTGCATAGCGTGGGGGTCGCTTAAACTCTAAATCATAAACAGAAACAAGAAACCGCGTGCGCCAAAGGGAGAAAGGAGTACAGCCCCAGGAAAAGCAACCTAAAGCGCGCCGAGGTACACACACGGAAGTGCACGCCGACAGCTGGTCCTCCCACCTCGCCTTCCGCCCCGGCCACGCCCACCACCGTGGGGCGCGCGCGCATGCACTGGAGGCCTTCCCCTCGCGGGCGCGGGCGCGCGCACGCCGCCCTGTCGTCGTTGTGAGCGCGACCGCGCTGCCCGGCGCTGGGGGGCGGGGTTGCGGGTGACCCTCCTAAGGCCGCCAAGGTAAGTGGTCTAAGGTTTGAAGGGCTTTAATGAGCTTGGTGAAAATGGGGCTAACCCTGGGATCCTACCTGGAGCGTGTAGAAAAGTAGATAAGGAGAGACACAGCAAGCTGCCTCGGCGGGCGTGTAAAAGAAAATTGCCGCGGGCCGCGCCGGACGGAGTGCGCATGCGGGCCGAAAGGCGGCGCCTGCGCAGTGGGGCGGTTGTCGGGCCTCGCTTCCTGGCGTCTGAGCTGGAGGGGAGACGTGACTTGATGTTGGCTTGGTAGAGCTTGCTGTTGCCGCGTCCTCTCTCCAGCTGTTGCCTGTTCACTCTGCCAGGCTAGAGCTGCGGGATCTATTTGATTTACATTGTAATACACCTAATTAAGTGAAAAAGTGGGATAATGTATTGGAGATGGACTTGAACAGTTGCTTGCCATGATTTGCCTTGGTACAGGGATAGAAACTTCCTTCATCGTGTTTTCTTTTGGTTTTTTTTTTTTTTTTTTTTTTTTTTTTTTGGTACCTGGGATTGAACGCAGGACCCTGCACTTGCCAGGCAAGCGTTTATTCTACTGAGACATCTCCCTGGCCCCTCATCGTGTATTTTGAATGAGGGGTTTTTTTCATGGAAGAAGTGTGTGTGTGTGTGTGTATGTGTGTGTGTGTGTGAGTGAGTGAGAGAGAGAGAGGGAAACAAGGGTCTCTATGCATTTCAGGCTGGGTTTGAACTCGCTATGATCTTCGGAGTGCTGGGATTACAGGCGAACACCACACCTACCTTCAGAGAAAGAATGTTTTTTTTTTTTTAAGAAAATAAGTTTGAATATGGGCTGGTGAGATGGCTCAGTGGTCTAAAGCACCTACTTAGAACAGGTTCAGCAAAGCACAGGGACCCTGGTTCAATCCCCCAGCACCACATGCCAGCCCTCCCCGCCCTCTGGTGGGCTGAGCTGGCCACACACACACACACACACACACACAATAAATAAATAAAATTTAAAAAAGAAAATAGGTTTGAATAGCTGGGGCTATCTACCCTGAGTACCTCCTTTGGACCTGGGAGTCTTGTGGGAAATGGATTTGTATAAATAAATCTACACAATGAGGAAAAAACGCACCAACCTAGGTGACACCATTTCTCCAACCCCCATGTAGACTTATCTGAGATGCTAGTCTTCAGTTATTTACAAAATCACTCATGCTGAAACCATGACACTGTACTAGGCCTTGAGGTTAGGAACAATTCAAGTGACAGGATTCTTCTAAACATGAACCTTGGAGGTGTAGCTTAGTGACAGGATGGGAAGGGTGTAACAGGCAGATCCTGAGCAGACTTTTCTCCTGTAGGAGTTTGCTGGGCCTCCCTCAGATGGAGAGAACTAGAGCTTTGTGTGTTGGGACACAGTAAGTGTGAACACCAGGCACAATGACACATTCCTGTAATTCCAGATACTCAGGAGGCTGAGGCAGGAGGATAGCAAATTTGAGATTATACAGGGCAACTTAGACCCTGTCTCAAAATGAAGGAGGAACTGGGAAGATGGCTCAGTAGAATAAACACTTCCCTGGTAAGCGCAAGGCTCTGAGTTCAATCCCTAGAGAGAGAGAGAGAGAAAAAAAAAAAAAAAAAGAGAGAGAGAGAAAGAAAAGAAAAATAAGAGCTTGAAATGTAGTTCAGTGTGAGACTGGGTTTCACCTCTCAATACCAAAAAGGAAGAAAGAAAACCTGGGATCTACCTTAAAAATGAAGAACAAAACAGAAGAATTTAAGTGTTTGCTAAGCCTGAAACTTTACCAATTGCAGGGCTAGGGAGATAGTTCAGTAGAATAAGCGCCTGCCTGGCAAGCACAAGGTTGTGAGTTCAATCTCCAGTACCACCAACAAAAAAAAAAGGAAACTTTACCAATTGCTTTACATATACTAATCTAATCTTCATAACACCTCTGTAAATTAGGCACTATTGTCCCCATGTAACAAGTGAGACAACTGAAGAATAGAAAGTTTGAGTGATTTGTCCAGAGTCGAGTAGCTAAATCAGGACTC